TTTCATGTTCTGGCAGGTTAAACTTTTGTTTCCTCATCTGTCAAATAGGGGTTAAAATAGTTCCCCCTGAATATGTACAATTAAAAAAATATCTACCTTTTATAGGATTGGTATGTAGATTAGATAAGTTATGTGTGTTTATAAAAGTGTCTAACATGATAAGTACTTCACTGTTCAGCATTCTGTTTTAGCAGTATTTTTTCCCCTAGATTTTGTGTCTCTTTTCTAATTGCCCAATCTCAGAGGACTATCTTTTATGCTTTCTCCCCTAGGTTGGAGAAATGCAATTTGACACCAGCTTGCTGCCAGCATCTCTCCTCTGTTCTCAGCAGCAGTAAAAACCTGGTTAACCTGAACCTGATAGGCAATGACTTAACGCCTGATGGGGCCAAGACACTGTGTAAGGCCTTGAGAAAATTAACGTGTAAACTACGGAAACTTGGGTAATCCCCACTGACTTTTCTACTGGGAAGAACCTTTTGAGGCAGGGATGGATTGGCTAATCTTTTAAAGCAAGCATCATGGTTACCCTGCATTCATTTTCCTAGGGCAGTGCTGGTCAATAAAACTTTCAATAATGATGGGAATGATCTATATCTACATCGTCCACTAACCACATAGCCACTGGCTGCGTTTGATAATTGGGCACCTGAAATTTGGTTAGTGTACCTGAAGACTGGGAACTTGATTGTTAATTTTCTATAAATTTAAATTTTAAATTCTCTTTAATTTTAATGAACTTATATTTAAACAGACACATGGGGCTAGTGACTACTATATTGGACAGTGCAGTCCTAGACACTTTGGGTATTTGGGGAGTCCCCTCATTATTCCTCTTCTTGTACCTACTCTATATTTCATTCGATAGCCATTCACTGAACAACTTCTTTTTCAGTACTGACTCTGGGCCAAGCACCGTGGCATGGTAGACAGAGGGAAACAAGTGGACATGATCCTCACCCTCATGGGTGCTGAGTTCTCCTCAGGGAGATGGCAAATCTTAGACATGGGGTTTCATTCGATAGCCATTCACTGAACAACTTCTTTTTCAGTACTGACTCTGGGCCAAGCACCATGGCATGGTAGACAGAGGGAAACAAGTGGACATGATCCTCAGCCTCATGGGTGTTGAGTTCTCCTCAGGGAGATGGCAAATCTTAGACATGGGAGCAGTGTTTTTTGTTATGAATGTTATGACAGAACCTCTGGGCTGAAGTATAGAAAGATGAAAGTGATCAGAATGGTAGGATTGTTTGAAGTGTCATTGATCTTGAATCCTAAGGAGGCTGGAAGGAGGAATCCATATGTCAGGAGGGGAACATGGGAAATGACTAGAGATGAAGGGTGAAATGTTCTAAGGAGGTTGCAGTAGCACGTGCAAAGGCCCTGAGGTTGAACCAAGCTTTGTGTTGCCTCTTTGAGGCATTGATAAAAAGCTTTAATCAGAACATTCTCTACCTTATTCAGTATTCTGGAGAGGAGATCAGAAAGATACACAGTAGTTATTGCTAAAGAAAGATATTAAACTAGGTACATTTTAGCAGAAGTTATCTCAGGTACCAAGAAACCTTGCTTGCTTCGGGAAGTTAGTCAAAAATCTGTATGTTTAGGATTTGATGTTATCAACTTCAGACTTAAGTGGTACATTTTTAGAAGAGTTTTGGGATGGTGACTACCAGAAATGGAAGTTTCTCACCTTTCTATCATGTATGTGTCTAGAAGGGACTTCTTACTGGGTAACCAGACTCTCACTTCTTCTCAAAGAAGAGAATGATCAGGTTTTATTTTTCAAAACTTTACTAAGCACAAATTAATAACACAAATGAGAAGAACCAGTTAGATTTACTTATACACGGTGACAACAATGACCTGAGTTACCCAGGCCTTCCCTATGTCTCTTTTGTCATTTTCCCCATGGTTTTCCCATCTTTTGCAATTGTGGCTGTCTTTTCTCTATAGAAAAAGGGGTTCTTGTGCCTTCAAGTCTTCTCCCCAATATTTATGCGTGAGGCTAGTGGGGGGAGGGGAATGGTATGTACCAACATGAGGGTAAACAAAAGTTAATTTTTGTATGGGGGACCTATTTCTTTATTTTGCTTTACTTCACTTTATTTTACTGTACTTCCTTATTTTACTTGACTTTTTAATTTTACTTCACTTTATTTCTTTGCTTCTCTTTCTGTCTTTACTTCTGTATTGGTCTGTTTCTGTTGTTTATAACAGGATAGCTGAAACGGAGTAACTTATAAAGAAATAGAATTTATTTATTAGTTTTGGAGGCTGGGAAGTCTAAAGTCCAGGGAACACATCTGGTGAGGACCTTTTCCTTGGTGGTGACTTTCTGCAGTGATGCAGGGTATATCACGTGGTGAATGGTTAGCAGGAAAGCTAACCTGCTCACTGGCTCTCCTTATAAAGCCAACATAACCACACCCATGATCTCACACTAAACATTAGATCAGTGGATTAATCCATTCATGATGGTACAGTCCACACAATCTAATCACCTCTTAAGGCACCACTTTTCAATTACCATAATAGGATTTCCCACCCTCTTAAAATTGTTACAATGGATATTGTTTCTAATGAGTTTGGGGGGGATAGTCAATCCACAGCAACTTCACTGCTTTAGTTCACTAATTTACTTTGCTACTTCACTACTTCACTTCTTTACTTCACTACTTTTTTTTTTACAGCCTTCAAAAAGACTTGCACAGTGTAGTGAAAGAAGAGATGCTGACATTAAAGAAGGAATCCTTTCTGAAAATCAAGTGTACTTGGGATTTTAATGATCTTGGAGACAAATGGTGGTGGTGATCCTACTGATTAGATGCCACAGCTTTACCATGAAATGGTCTTCGAGTTCAACTGCCAGGAGTTCCTGACCTGTATGTTGCTCAGTTGTCACTGTTTGTGAAGACAAATGAGTTGTCACCTCCAGAATGCCTTTTACAGTTGTTAGAGGCAGCCTCTTCAACACCCAGTCTCCAGAATCCTAACCTAATATTGTGTCTCGTCCCAAGATCATGAATTGGCTTTGCCTTAAGTCTCTTTTTGTTCTTCTTGTTATAATGTTTTTAATCTTGGAGGTGTTGCGAGGATTCAATAAAGCAAAGAATATAAAAATACATCAAGGAAGCCTAAAGCCTTATTTCTCGTGAATCAAGAAGTGGGATAAATGTGGTTATAATTCCATAATTATTATACCATGATTAAATAAGCCATATAGACATCCAGAACTACTCCTACTGTGCCTTTATTTCCACTTATGTTGATTCCCCCAAGAAGTGTTAGACTTCACATTGTTCTTTATCTCCCACCCTCTAATGCTCATGATGATCTACTTATTTCTGATTTTATTCTCAACTCCCACTCTTCTTCACCTGAAACTTTTTCACTGTGCTCTTTGGAAACAAGCAAACCTACATTTAGAGACTAGGTTGAGGAGGATCCTTTTGTCTTCTTGTTCTGTCTGAAGCGTGGATCTCCTGTGAGAACATTGCCCCATCACTGCCCTTTCCGGTGGTGACTGTCTTATCTAGGTAGCAGTGGACTGGGATAGTGGGACAGGTGGTCTTCGTCCTCATTGCTGCCCTACGACCATCAACCCCACCTCCTTCTTAACCTTCACATCCTTTATTTTTATTTCTTCAGATTTCATACCCCTTGTTCTTTGAAGCCCAACTTCTAGAAACCCTTCATTTAGAAGATTTTAGCTCCTGGCACACTGTCAGGCTGTCAACTAGTATTCCTGTCTTAGACCTGATTTCAGTATCCATATAGATGGTCCATGACATCATCTCCAGTGACAGCATCTCTCACCCTTTCCCAGTCCCTCATTCCACACTCAAAGTGCAGCTATTCTCAGAGTTATGACTACAACTCTTTCACAGTCTCACTTTCAAGTAATATCCCTTCTTCAACCACCACCTAGCATCTTCCTGACTTACTCCTTCTCTAACTGAAATTTAATCTGTAGATTGTAACTGATAATCCATTGATACTACTGTTGCAAGAGGCAATCTGTCCTGTGACCTGAGCATCCCTGTACATTCTCACTGGGTATGCCAAGAATGTAAGGCCCGGACTCATTTGTCTTTATTTACTATTATTTTACCCAGGACTTTAATCCGGTTGTGTTTGCAGTGAGCAACCTTGAGGGAAGAGGCAATTTTCTACCTCAAACAAAGAGCAGGCTTGTTATGCTTATTGAAAATAGGTGAATTTCCTAAGCTCACTGTGCTTCTATAACCCAATCTACTGCATGTGCAATCATCCATCATGGGCCCTTTGTGGCACCCCGAGTTGTGGAACTTGGGGAGTGTGGGGAACTGATAAAAACTAGTAGGAAATGCTGGTTCATACTTTTGCTGTAGATGACAACATCCTTTATTTCTGACTCAGGAGTCTCATATCTTCTGCTAGCTTCCAGGAGCTAGTTAGCTTCTTAGCTCATGAGTAGGATAAGATCCCAAACCCTTATCAGTTCTTAGTAACAGACCCCTTTTCACTGTCCTTCATCGCCTTATGGCTTATCTACTTAGCTGGCACTAATCCAAATAGTCCCTTAAATTGCTATCTAGTCAGCACCTTCAACGCTGTGCCCCTCTCACTTTGTCATATGTATTTGGCAAACCACAAAACTTTAATTGCAGTTTTCTACTTACTCCATACTTGTATCCATATTGATAAATGTGCTGGAGAAGAATGCTTAACCCTGTTAAAATGCATAATGAGAAATCCCAAGGAGTTTCTTAATGTTGCACATAAACATATTGTAATTTCCTGGTTTATTCTTTTACTCAACTACCATCTCCTCCCTCATTATATTTTCTATATTTCTCCTCTATTTTCACTCTCAATTGATGATTTTACATATTTCTGTGAAAAAAAGAATCAGTCAGAATATTCCACAAGTTTCCACTGTCACATCTACCAGCATCTGTAACCTGATAAGAGAAAAATAAAGGCTCTGAAGCGTTGGAAGCGTAAACGAGATTACTGCTGGGCAAGACAGGGAAAATTTCTACTATGTAAGGGATTGGACTTCATGTGGTGGGGACTTAACACTGCTGAAGCAGGAGACTAATATGTTTTCTGTGGAAAGTAAAAGTCTTTGTTCTGTTTTCGGCAGATTATGCAGGAAATGGAAGGAAGTAATGAGATCCTGTTTATAGAGATCATACATTCAGATTAATACACAACCATCTTAAAAACCACCTCCATTTTTACCTATTTTATCCATCTGAAGTAAAGTTTTTCTTAATCACTTTGGTTAAGGATTATTATAGATGTCAAAGATATGGTCTTCTATCATTCCTCTGTGGACCACCTGCCACTCTACTGTATTCATTTGTATGGAAATATGGTGGTCTGCCTAGAAGCCGGAGACTCTCTATTACACCCCAGGGTCATCCCTTATTTTGTGACTTTCTGGTCAGTCACTT